CGGCCGGCATCGTCGCGGCTCCGCTCGACTTGCCCGACGGTTTACCGGCCCGCAGAAACCGTAAACCGTACTTAGAGTACGCCCACGCACCGACCGGTTCGCGGAATATAAAGGCGAGCGCGACGATCACCAGAATAACCAGCACCGCCGAGAACGTTGCGGCCATCAGAGGCAAGTAATCGGAAACCATGATACTCTCGATGACGCCACCTTGAGAAAAGTAATCGGAACAGACCGTTTCGTTGACGTTCAAGCGGCGCCGGTACGCTGGTCTCGCGTCCCCCCCGTAGTAGCACCAAACGTCGCTAGCGTCCACCACCTTATGTGCGTTGTCGGAAACCCACGAGGACAGCTCTTGCAAGAACTTGCATCGACAGGACCACGGGTTGCTGCCCAGAGACAGCTCGACGAGGCGAGCGTTCAGAGTGACCTGCCATACCGGAAAAGTCACCAATCGATTTCCACTGAGTCTCAATATCTCGAGCGAACGCAACGGCAGGAAGGTCAGGTTACCGATGAATCCGATCAGATTGTTTTGCAGATAGAGTTCGCGCAGATGGGACAACCGTTCGAATTCGAACCCCTTCAGCTCGCGTATCCGATTGTCTTCCAGATGAAGAATCTGCAGATTGTTCAGCCCGTTGAACGTACGGTTCTGGATCGATTCGATGCCACTGGCGTTCACGTACAGCACTCGCATGTTCTTCCGTCCTATGAACACGTGGTTCTGCAGCTCGCGCAACACGTTCCCGTCCAAGTAGACCTCGGTAGCGTCCATCGGGATCCGCCGCGGTATCTCCTCGACGGTCAGACCGGAGCAATCGACGGCGTTCGTGTTCCATGTGCGGTCGTTGTAACACTTGCAACCTGCCGGGCAGGTCATCTCACAGTCGCACGCGTCGAAATCACAGCAATGGCACAGGGCGAAACAATGGGCCTCGTAGCGGCAGAGAAACTGCTCCGACCTGGCCGTTGACGCGGACACAATGGCTACGCCACGTGGTCCGGATGTACGACACATTACGTTGTCCAAGTCCATGATACGTGGATACTCCCTGGTCGATGTCTGATTGTTGATCGCTGGCAGCCAATCCATCGAACAGTTGCAGTTGAACGGATTTCCACCGATGTAGAACTCCGGCAGAGCTCGATCTTCCGGTACTTTGGTCAATAGCAACGACGTCAGTTCCATCGTCTCGATCATGTTCGCGTACATGTCGACCCTGGTCAGGTTCTCTTTGTCCCTGAACGTGTTAGGTCGTACCAGACTGATGTAGTTGTTATTTATGAACAGCAACTCTACGCTGTCCGGCACGGACAACGGGGACAACTCGGTAACGCGGTTGTGGCTGGCGTCCAAGGTTTTCACCTTCGAGTCGCGAATCTTGTAATAGTTGCCCAAGCTTTCGATAAAATTCCCGTGTATATCCAACCATTTCAAGTTGCCAGGTATGAACGCGTAGTCGAACCACTCGATATGATTCTCCGACAGATTGAGCAGCAGCAAACTGGCGATATTGGTGAAAACGCCGTTAATGTCGGACAGGAAGTTTCCATCGAGTCTAATCGCTTCGAGTCGCACGTTCCGTTCAAAAGCGTATCTCTCGACGTGTTGCACCTTGTTTCTAGCTAAATTCAGAATCTGCAGATTTGGTAGATCCCAGAGCATGCCGCGCGACAGATTGCCGATGTCGTTGCCGATCAGTCGCAGACCCGTCAGTTGATCCAGATTGCGGAACGAGCCGTTGTAGAAATTGCTAATCCGATTCTCGCCCAAGTCGAGGGTTTTCAGGAGAGCGAGGTCGCGTAACGCGTCCGGCACCGACGTAAGCTCGTTACCACTCAGATCCAGTTCCTTCAGGTCCGAACAGTTGCGAAACGCGAGCGGATCGATGCTGGCGATTGCGTTGCCGGACAACGTTAGCCGATTCAGAACAAACAGACCGTTGAACAGTTGCGCTCCCACGGTGTGAAGCTTGTTGTCGGACAGCTCGAGGGTATGCAGATTGTAAAGTGGGAGAAAAGCGTTGCTCTCGATCCGATCGATCGTATTGTTCCTAAGATCGAGGATCTGCAGGAAGAACAGGTCCTTGAACATACGCGCGTCGATGTGCGTGAGCATGTTGTAAGAGAGGTCGAGAACGATCAGCCGAATCAGTCCGAGAAACGTAGTCTCGTCGACGCGGTCACTGCCGAGTCGATTGCCCGCAAGATTTAGCACGAGCAGCTGCTCCAGCCGGGTGAATATACCCCTGGGCAGGTCGCGGAGCCCGTTGTACGCCAGGTGTATCTCTCGAAGCTCCCTCGTACTGGCGAACAGACCTTCGGGCAACGAGTCCAACGAATTATAGCTGGCGTTAAATGTACGCAATACGGTCAGCCCTTGGAGCGCGTCACTGGCAATTTCGACGATCGAGTTCCGCTGCAGGTGCAACTCTTGCAGCTGACGAAGGCCAAGCAGCGGGCTGTTCTCTTGTAAACGCGTGATCTCGTTACGCGACAGATCTAGAATTCGAATGTCAGCGCGAC